GAGAAAAAGCTTAACCATTTCAGCTCAAAATACAGAAGAATTGTAAAATTTCCTATTTTGTTCTTTATATTTGCTCAAAAAACATCATCTAATTCTACAGATGAACCTCTATTGACTTCAGAAAACCACGAACAGATATATAAAACTTGTACATTCTTTTAAAAATGAGGCTAGATCACTAGAACATCTTAAATCTACTGGAACCAGGCACATCAATACTACTAACTGGAAACTACCCCTCAAAAGTTAAATGCCTTACCAAATCCTTTGTTAATTCATACTGTGGAACCCCAGAGTCCATTCCAGGTATTTCTTTTTTAAATCGAGAAAATCGAAAGAATAAAATTTGCCTTAGAAAATGGATAATACTTGTATTAGCTTAGAATTTCTGTCTTGTGAGCACAAAGTTTTAAGATAGGTAGCTCTCTGTACCAAACAGGGTGATGCCACAAATAGCAAAAGACCATTTGCTTTCAGACAGATCTAATGAAAAGTCTGTGCTACAGGGGCTTTTATGGAAACTCTTCTGACGATGGGCTGTGCATATAACAATGCTGACTAGCCCTTTATCATAGCAGTTTTAAGGTAAAAAACCAAAAAAGCCTTTTGCTTTTGTTTCCTTTTAAGTAAAAACAAACAACACTAAAACCATCCTAAGCAAATTTCACCAGCACATATTTTTGAAAGGTTCCCTAGATGCACAAAATCATATAGGATCTGAGATCAACAAAGCGTGGAAAGTTAGCAATGCCAGCCTAAAGCAGCTCTGAAGAAAAAGGTCAATAAATCCTATAAACAGATGTACACAACCTTTCTTCCAAGGCCTGTAACCAAGTACTAAAGGGGTTAACTTGGGGCGGGTGGGAGGCAGCGGGGGGACCGAGAGCACCTTTTCAATAAAGGTTTTATAAAGAGGAAGCCCCAATAAGCAATTATGAGTGGACTATGGCATTATAGACCTTATTTGAGATAATGAAATAATAAGCAAACTTAATACCTTTGTGAAGATTTCTTTGGCTGCTTTATTTTAAAATGGACTATAAAATGATCTTAAAATGGCCTAAAGTGGATTTTTTGAGAAACGAGAAAGCAAAATGTAGTTCTAACATAAAAGTACTATTGCATTCTTCTTCCCTTAACCATTAAAAATTCCTTCATAACAAATATTATTACATTGAAAATCTCTGAACAAAAAGATGTTATATTCCTAAGTACCCACTTAACTTAGACCATTTGTTTAATATCTAAACTGTTAAAATGTAATTAAACCCCAGAGGATTTTCTGGCAGAGAACTGAACTGTTTTGACTGGTACCGCGGCAGACGGTCAAGTGAAGGGCTAGGGCCGGCTCTGGCTCCGGCTCCGGCCTCGGCCTCTGCCCCTGCCCCTGCAGCCAGTGCTGAGAACACAAACCTCTGCACAGGGGCTCAGGTTTAAATCTGCACATCTCACAAAACTTTCCACTGGAAAACACCTTAAACTTTCACCAGCTTCCTATCAGAATGCCTATTTGAACACGCCTTTCATCACACTAGAAATAAAAACATTTTAATTCTGTTAATTTGGCAGTAGAATCTCAAAATGAGTATTTTCCTATGTTTACTGGCTATTTGTCCTTTTCCAATGAAAAATCTGTTTACACCCTTTGCCCATTTTTTCTCCTGAGTTGTTTATCTTTTTCTTACAGATTTGCAAGAGTTCTTTGTATATTAAGAGAATTAGCTGATATCAGTGGCATGTTAGAAATATTTTTCTTAGTTTAATGTTACTTTTTGACTTAAATGTTATCAATGCTTTCCTTAATGTCGTGCTTAGAAAGGCCTTCCATATTCCAAGATTATGAAAAAAATTTGTCTATATTCTCTCCAAGTACTTAAAAAATAAAAGAGCATTATCATTTTCCAAATAAAAATGCTCCAACACATTTAAAGAATAGTGAATTATATTCCTTTGACATTTACAATTCTTGGCTGTACCACAGCCAAGCGATTGGATTGTTTTATAGATAAGAGTTTCCCTCATATACCAGTTAAGGACAGAAAGATCATGATGCGTCGCTGTAATGAATGTACCTCTTCCTGACTTAAGACACTCACCCCTGAGACTGCTCAGTGAGAAGCTAGAACCAGACCTCAAGCAACTTGAAATTAGGAGTTTTAAGAAAAACGCAAGGAAGTGCTATTTTACATATTAAGTTGTAAATTTATGAACTAGTTACTCTGAAATGTGTTATAGATTAAAAATACAAAGAAGGCTCAGATAAACAAAAAAACCAGCAGGCTCAAAATGAGTTATTCAAGGAGCTCTGCAGATGGACATTCCTTGTTGGGACCTTATTTTTAAAAGACATGATTTAAGAGAAAGATAGACAAGTCCGAACGTTGGATGACCAGCAGCTGAATTGCGGGGCTAAGCTGCCTGTGTGGGAAGAAAGCCTAATTTAAAATAACTGGTGCTAAGAAGGGTAAACAGTTGTTCAGAAGTCTGCACTGCACTGAGCTGAAAGGACGGGGTGCACCCTGCGTGGCCTGATGGGGGAGAGGCTCCTCTGACACACCTGTCCTCCAAATAAAACTGTTCTCCAAGAGATAACACGAGACCAGAGTCAGAGAAAAATCCCAAGCGACATATCGCTGGAACAAAAGTAGTTTCTTACTGACATTCAGAAATGAAAGAATGGGCAAACATGATAGAAAAATGTTTAAAAGCTACCAATTAATAATGGCTGTCTGGTTTCTTATTCATGACATCTTTCATGGTATTTATAAAACATAGCACAATTTTGACCTAGTTAAATTGCTCTCATAGCCCAGATAACTGAGAGCATAGATGGCTGTTAAAAGTATTTTTGCTTGATTTAAATTAATTCAAATGCTCGAGGGCCAGCCGAGTGGCTCAGCTGGTTAAGAGTTAGCTTCAGAGCGCAAGCTCTGAGCAACAGGGTTGCCCATTTGACTCCCACATGGGCCAGTGATGCTGCGCCCCAGGTGAGCTGCCACTGAGCTGCCAACAGGTGGCAGGATGGCTCAGTTGGTGAGATCACGCTCTCCTAACAAGACTCTGCCTGTTTGATGGTGGGCTTCGCCCTCCTGCAAATAGGACTGAAATCTGCAACCTTGAGTTGAGCTGCCGCCTGGATGGCTCAGTGGATAGAGCATGCGCTCTTAACAACAAGGCTGCCGGTTCCACTCCCGCATGGGATGGTGGCTACACCCACCCGCAACTAAGAGCTTAGAGGCCACGAACTAGCCATCGGCAGCCAGATGGCAACTGGCGCCCTCCACAACTAAGACTGAAGAACAACTTGGCTGGTACCCCTATTAAAAAAAAAAAAAAAAAAATCAAACGCTCAAGTTAATTAATTATGAGCATTCTTTCTATGTTTGTAACTTCCAGTTTCAGTTTACTTTTTCTTTTCATTCAAAGGATCTAATTAGATTTAATGTTAGGTTGGGTTAGCAAATTCCAACTCTTTAAAAGTTGGTTACATTTTCTTCTAAATAAACAGGAAGAAAAAAATTCACTAATGAGTTTATATTACTACCCTTAAACACTGAGGAATTGACTTCATAACAGAACAAGATATGAGCCTGATTCTGAATTTGTGTTCATCAGCTAAAGTGCTCCAGCCTATCCTAAGGGCTGAATAGGTCCCCGGATTAAAATAAAATGAATAATTTCAATCTTTTCTTTCTTTCACTTATTCTATGATCATCTCATTATAATTCCCTTATGAAAATGTTGTCTTTTACTTAATGATGTTTTTGTTTAACTCAGTGAATCTCAGCTGGGTTGACTTGGCCCCCCAGGGGGTGCCTGGCAACGTCTGGAGACAATGTTGGTCATTACAGCCGAGGGGTGCTGTTGGCATCTAGTGCTAAGAGGCCAGGGATGCTGCTCAGGGTCACAGTAAGGAAGTTATCAGGCCCCAAAGGTTAGCAGCGCTCAGACTGAGAGTCCCTGGTAGAGCTTTAAGTGAGGTTTAACTACTATATTCTTCCCATTTCATCGTCAGTCATCTTTAACTGCCCAATGTTCTCAGATAGTACAGAGTAACAAAATATAGGAAAATGATCAACTATAGTCATCACTTTGTCTCTGAATTTTAAATATTTGGGCCAGACTAATTTGTAATTCAGGGTGTCCACAAAAATCTATTTAAAATGTGTAAAGCCTGTAATTAATATATGGTAAGAGTACTTTGATAAACTCTCCTGGGAGGTTAAGATATAGACCTTCTTCTGTAAGCAAATAATTATAAGCGATATGATTATTAGGCTTCACATAATTTAAAACCTTTTATGCAGCTGAAAAAATATCAAGAAATAACATTCCCCAAAGCCCATTCATCTCTAAAGATGTAGGCAGCAATAATATTTTGATATCTATCCTCTCAATTTTCTTGTCACTCACTCTGGATAATCATCCAGCAATAACTGAAATAGGCGGCATCACCCATACTGATCAAATTTTCATTAAAATTAATGTAAAACTTCAGTGTATTTTTCTAAAATTACCCCATTACTCTAAGTTCTCTAGAAGCCATACAATAATAGCACCGCGTGCTGAGGGCTGGATTTGCAGTCACTGTTACAATGTGTTGCGCCTCCAGATGAGGGGGCTCTCGCTGGGCGTGCAAGCCAGGGCCAAGGGCAGGCACACGGACCGCCTCGAACAGGACACTTCTTCCTCCGCACTCACTTGACAGGGGATTCACAATGTATGGGGTCTGTGTTCCTATCATGCCAGACTTTTAAAAGCCACTCTCGATGAACACCCTGCCTTTTCTCTTATAATAAATCAACTTTATAAACAGTCTTTAGCAGGTTCAACAGGCAAGTTTTTTGTTAATACCCAACAGAAATGCCACACGAACATCTAACAGCTACTTTATTTATGCATTCAGGGAAGGGCAACAGCTGTTAACGCATCACAAGCTTCCACAAATGAGCTTTGCTCTCAGGAAAGCCAGCCTCACCCAGGAGGATGGCAGGACTTACCTGGTTGTTACTGCTGACAGCTGAAGAACTGGCTTGAGCTGTGCTTGCTGAGAGGGAATCGAGGAAGGCTTGGTCAGCCACTGAATTTCCACAAGAAAACGGATCTTTCCCATCATTGGGCAAAACCTGAGTATTAGGAAGAATCACAATTACTTTCACAGATTAGAGTTATTTCAGAGTTAGAGTCCCTGAGGACAAGTAAGAATTGTCAGCTATTATGGAAAAGGTGCTTATATTCTGTTTAACAGGCAAGCAAGCCCAAGAACATCTGTATTAACTGTTCTTTTCTGTAAATATGCAGAATTCTAGAAAATGCAATTAATGGCAGTACCTACTTAAATCCTCAGATATTTCTCATTCTTGTCAGTGTTCAGAATCCCGAATGCACAGTGCACAGAACTAAACCACAACACAAACTAAGACATGGACTCAGTTCGGGGGCCTGTGATCCCTCCTAAACTGTACGGAAAAGGTCGGAGTGCGTGCACACGCACAGATTTCTGACAGGAAGGGCTAAAGATTTCATCAGGTTCTCCAAAGGGTTCCAAACTCCCCACCCTGTCTCAACCGGGAACAACAGGCTTTGCACTCTGCAGGCAGCGCTCAGGTAAGCATCTGCCCAGGCGTTATTCCTCTTTACTGGAGGGGAACCACAGGTACCTTCATTCTTGATCTCACTCCAGTTTTACTCACAGGGCACCAGGTTTCTACCAGGTGAGAGGCCAGCTCACCACCGGCTGGATAGTTTGGAGTGACCTACAGACAACCAGCAGGGGGCGCCAGGGGGTTGGCTCAGAGGAGGGTTTGTCAGCTGAGTGAGTGGGTGTGTCCCAGGCTGGGAGCCTCATTCACTGAGGGTGTTGTAACACTATCCTTGGCATCTATCACAATGGAGCTTAAACCAGGCAATGGTCCACAGCACTTCATTCAAGACCCTTCTGTCTATGGGAATGGGAGAAGGAACTGAGAGATGCGCCCTAAATTAACACAGGGAGAAGTAAGCTACTTAAAAAAATCTATTTCGACTTTGTGAATCAATTCTACAATAAACAGTATTGTAAGTAGCAGCTATTACACAATATAAGCAAATGAAAAACAGGGACTTTTATTCAGAATAATTAAAAGTTGCTCTCCTTGCAAAGAACTTAATCTAAATATTTGGAGTTACTCTTTGGAGCTTGGGCCTATAGGTAGTATTGTTCTACTTCAATGTATTGTCCACATTTTATATAATTAGCATGTATTACTTTTATAATGGAATTTTTTAAAATTAAAAATGGGGGTGGCCATTTAGCTCAGTTGGTTAGAGCGCAGTGCTCACACCACGAAGGTTGCTGGTTCGATCCCCACATGGGCCACTGAGATGCGCCCTCCACAACTAGACTGAAACAACCACTTGACTTGGAGCTGATGGGACCTGGAAAAACACACTGTTCCCCAAATAAAATTAAAAAGTTAAAAATAAAGCTGCTATTTTCCAGTCTGTCCTTTAAGTTGATAATTCACAAAAAGGTATTTGATAAAGACAAAGACCAGGTTTAATTAATAAATGACAGTAAGTTCTTACTTCAACATAGTCTGTAGGAACAAGACCTCGTTCTCCTTTGCTGTTTCTTCCTTCCAGCCATCCTCCACCAACATCCTAAGAGTTCAAAAAGAAAAGAAGAAAGGAAAAAGAAAGACTATAGTTGCAATTTCCTGCAGAAATTTTGCCTTAAGAATTGTTATACATGAAGAGTAATTAACATTAAGCATTTTATTCCTACAGAGCTAACACAGTTCAAAATTTTAAATTCTTAAGACTTCTCTTTACTCCAGAAAATAATGCAATCTAAAAACAAGAAAAATCAAAGTTCAATAGTAAGTGATCAAAAATTTTAAAATTGACTATTAATTAAGTGCCATCATTTTTTAATTCCTCCCCATGGTCTGTGGTAGATTACAAAAAGGATTTGCAGCTCTGATTGTCAAGAAGTAGAATGGACACCCCAATCTCTAGAATCTGTGTTGTCCTCTGTGACCACTTTAGCCAACAGAATGAGGTGGAAATACCAGGTGGTGAGTCCAAAGCCTGGCCTCAAGATGAGGCTTTGCACAATTGCTTTTTTCCAACCAATAGAGCTTCTACATAAATACATCTGGCAGGCCCAGATGACAGAGGCAGGCCCAATTTCTCTGTCACCTCATCCAAAGCCAGCCAACCCCCAGCAGGAGCACTGCCAGGCATGTAAGGCGATGTTAGATCACTGAGCCCCAGCCTGGCACCAGGTGACTGCAGGTGCATGAGTGAGCCCGGGTGAGTAGAACCACCCAGCTGACTGGTAGATTCCAGGGCAACAACCAATGGTTGTTTAAGCCACTAAGCTTTGGGATTGCCTGTGATTTAGGAAAAGCTACCTGGTCCACAGTTCCTTAGCTCTTGTGGATAAGTAACATTAATAAACTAAGTGAAGTCCTCGACATCAGGATTCCTATTTTTCAATTTCTTATCTCAGCAAAGTCCCACTTCCCCCCCTTAAAATAGTAAGAGTTGTCTTAAGTTCATAAATTGTGCCCTAATTTATTAACTATTACTCGAATCTAGATAAAACATTTTTTTAAAATCACTTTAAGTCACAACTTTGTCCATTTTTGACAACAGCAACTTAAAGACTATTTTACCAAGATATGAAGAATATTTCATTAAAAAAAATTAGATGGTAGCTAAAAGAATCTCAATTTCTCCTATGATTAAAAATAGAACCCATTTATCCTAGCGTATTTTATAAAACTACATATACTTTTTCTCCCCAGTAATTCTTCTGGGTACCTAAGACACAGAAAATAGGTTTTAAAACTACTGTCAATACGGAGAAAGCACCACCCTCTCGGGCACCTCTCTGTCCTCCCTTGCTCCTGTGCTGCCATGGTCCTGCCCCTCCCGCTCGTGGAGCACCTCTGTGCCTCCTCCTTCCGGTCCCAGTGTCCCCGCGGCATTCCCAGCGCCTTTCCTCACGTGCTTACTGTCCATGATGTCCAGGGAGCCAGCCTATCGCCAGGTCTGCATTTCCATTTTTAAGCTGATCCAAAGCTATAAGCCAGGGGTGATTATTTACTATTCTTTAAACTCAACATATCTAAAAATAAACTCTTTTAATCTTTCCAAAGAAGTTCTTCCTGACTTACATTCGTTAATAAATCCACTATTGTCTCAGATGCAAAGGACAAAAATTTAGGGATTCCTGACTCTTTTCTCACTGACATTATCAGTCGGGCACGAAGTCCTCTGGGTCTGACTCTGCAAGACCACCTCATCCATCTTCCTTCAACTCCTACTGCTACTACCCGAAGTCTCCACCATACCAACGCATTCGCTACACCTCTGCTAGACTCATTTCCTGAAAGCACAGGTCTCATCCTGCCACCTCCCTACAGCAATATTAACCATAAAACCCTTAAATGAATCCACTACTTACGAAATGAAATACAAAGTCTAGGTATGGCCTGGCACACAGGTGCTGTCTGCTTTGTCCTTAAGCGCCAGTTTTCTTAGCCTGCCTCCTACTGGCACATACATACCCTGTACCCCTGGGACACCTGTTTACATGTTGTGTTCCCCAGCAGAGAAGAAAAGGCAGAAGCCTGGAGGCCAAACAAATGAGGCTTTGAATCCCTGATTTGCCACTTATAAGCAGAATGTTCTTGGGCAAGTTATTTAACTTCTCCAAGTCTCATTACCCTCACTTATAAAAAGAGATTAAAAATACCAACCTCACAGAGTTCATAGGGAAAATACTTAAAGATGCACAGCACCTAGCAAAACACCTGGCTTACCCGCTGCCAATAAATGGTAGGTAGCTTCTAAGAAACACTGAATACTTTCTAATCTCTACACCTTGGATCTGGCTGGTATCTATCTGCTGGGATGTCACTCTTGCCATCTTTGTCTGATGGAACCCTACCCAGCTGTCTTTAGAGGACTTAACTTTTCTCAATGTTTATAAAATATTCTTACTTCACCATCAATACTTTGTAAGCAATAGGAAAAAAATTCTTGTGGATTTCAACGATCAATTTATTAAAAATAAATCTTAACAATAAGTCCTTAAGGGATGATCAGAGCCAAATGTAACAGTTCTCTTACCGGATTTGTAATTGTGATGATTTCTCCTTCATTAACTGTCAGTTCATTATTTCCAGGTTCAGCAGCAAAATCATACATAACCCGAGCCTGTTGGAAGTGGAGAGGAAAAGAAGTGACAATGTAAACTGAACAGTAACAAAACAGCAACCTTTAAGTTCACTTTGTAAACATGCTGGTCTGAACAAACACATCATGACAGCACCCTGTTGTTTCGGAAGAAAGGAAGACATATCACCAAGGTGATTAACCAGCCCTCTCTCGGGAGGAAGAAGGATGCCTATGGAGACAGCCCCTGTTCTGTTTTGGATACAGGGAAGGTTTATGGTAGCTGCCCACACTGCATTTATAGATCAGCCCCCCAACATACTCTAAACACACCCACTTGATCGGGGAGGGGAATTGGGGGGTGAAAACACAGACATTGTTCAATCTGGGAACACTCACTCCAGTGACTGCAGAGCTCCACATACAGACATACAAGTACGTACACTACATGTAAGCGTCATACATCTTTAAATTATTTCCTTTCAATTAAAACCCTCACTAGTCTTCATCTAGAGCCACTCGGATGAACTTTGATAATACAGTATCTCTAGCCAAGTATATGCAGAAACTTGAGATTTGGGTAGCAAGATACATTTACACTCTTCTATTATAATACTTCCCACTTCACAATCATTTTATAGAGCTGTGTATATGGGCCAGGTAACCTGAACACCTGTAATTTTCAAATATTTTCCTACAATGAAATCTGAATTTCATAGAAAACAGACTAAAGGGACGCTTGCTGTTCTGGTTGGTGTGAGGTGGGGCTGCTCTTTCAGCCTCTTCAAGAGGCTCCTTGAGGCACCAACCCAGAAATGTGGGTTCCCTGGAATACTGCCACGTGTGTATTCCAAAAGAGAGAATCACTGTTGTAAAAATATGTACTTTATACACACTTTTATGATATATAATATATCTTACAAATTGGGGCTCACATGTACCTAGAAAACATATGGCTTGTTTTAAAAGGACTTGTTTGTCCTAAGAGGCAAACGGAACTTCACCTACAGGGCTGGTCAAATAGGATCAGTGGAGCTGCACTCACTTAACAAATATTGACTGAACACCGACCATGCGTCAAGAAGTGCGTGAGGCCCTTTTGCTCACCAGTGCTTTCTCCACACTTGCTTAATGATGCCTAGAATCCTGATAACAAGGAATACGGATGCACAGCTAGTAATAAAACATTAAGGAAAAAGCCCAAATACTAATTTATTTTGAAATACATCGAAAATAGTAAGATGGACTGATGGATGAACATGTGATAAATCAGGTATAGTAAAATGCTATTTTTAGAATCTAGGTGGTGGGTTGATGGTGTTCAGTGGAAAATGATTAAACTTTTCTACATGTTTGAGACTTTCCATAATAAAATGTTGGAAAGAAACAAAAATACAGTCTGTCGGGCAAGAAGCTACATCAGATCCCTAATTTCTGTCTGTACTCTGAGAGCTTGGGAGGGGGCTGAAAGAGACTGCAGGCAGAGAACTCTGTCAGCATTACACTTTTCCTGAGGTTGTCATAAAGGACAGCAAAACTGTAATGAGGCCTTTTCCTCACACAGCTGCAAAAGGAGATAGAATTCTGCTTGTCATGTTGCGGAGCATTTTTTAAAAAACATGTGCCAACCCCAACCCCTCATGCAATGAGGGCAGATATGAGGCGGGACCTCTGCTGTGAGGAGTCCCCCAGCCAGGACACACCCACCGGACACAAGCTTCGGGAGGGCTCTGCTGTGTGGCCAGGAGCAGGATGTTTTCTTATGGTTCCTTAACAATCCTGGTTAACAATGTTTTGTTTTGTTTTTTAAACCAGCTAAATCCAACTAATCCCCAAATACAGAATACCAAAGCCTCCTGTTTACCAAACTTACAACTCGGTGAAACTTACACTTTTAAATATTACTGAACATTTATCCACGAAAAAATGTATATAAATATTACAGGTTTATTTAAAATGTTGATCTAAGGCCTTTAAAAAAAACACCTAGAGATGCTTCTTAAAAATTAGAAATGAGAATAATTTGGGAGAACAAACAGATTTAAAAAGCGCATCCTCAAATGAGTATAACATGTCAACAGAAAAAATAACTGACCATTCAGCCCAGGGGAGCAATGACTGTTACAAAGTTCAGGTAAGACTGGAAACCTTTAGCGCATCTCCCATTACCTGCATCTTTTCCCTTGTATTTGGCTTCCTTCTGGCTCACTGGCCCCCCTTACCGCTCCCCGTTTGCCTCCTCTCCACCCCTGACAGTATCATGCTGATGGCCACCCCAACTGCCAATCTGTTTTTGATATGGCCTTTGAAAGACAAGGTCCACTTTTCTAGACTGCTCTTCCAATGTGAGCTATACTTTAAAGAAATGACTCAAAAAAAAAAAAAAGGGAAGAAATGACTCAAGTATTTTCACGAGCCAAGTGCCCACACAGTTCCTGATCAGTAGATAACTTCCCTATATACTATATACTGAATTCATACTGTCAACCACAATTCATCTTTTCAACAGCAATCTCTGCAAGTATTACAGATACGGGGAATGGCTAGTAGACAACAATCTTACACATAAGTTCCATTATCTACATACAGTAAATAAACACTAGCAGACTCAAAGTTCTCAAAGTCAAATTCAGGTACTAGAAAAGTAAGTGTGCCACCACACACCTGTCTGATATGTGCACAGTCGGCATCTTAGCACACATTTCCTTTTGGAAGAAGAGAGAGGAGCATAAAAATATTCTTTTTGACTCGTACTCTAAACTTCCGTTATTTTGCCTGCCCCATCCCTTGCCACTGGAAACCGTTTCTGCCCTACTCCAAGTGATTGCTGCGCATGTAACCCAAACAGGGATAAGCAAAAGCTTTCCCAGACCAGGAGTTTACTAGATAAATACTCATTTATCCAAGGAGAACAGGTAAGGGAAGAGAAGAAAGCACCCAGGAAAACCTGTGAATCCAGCTACTCGGAAGGGTAAGAGGAATGACACAGAAAGAATAAGGGAGCAGGAGGTGCCTGGTGATTCACATGAGAAAACAGCTGGGAAGGAGGCCAGAAGTAACACTTAGGGCGTTAGATGCCTGTGCACAAGCACTCAGGGCACAGGGAGCAAGCCAAGTACACTGGGATTATGCACCAGGTGTAAACATGATGCTCTCATTGAAATCTTGGTGATGGGAATCAAGACTGACCTACAGTGACAAAATTGAATCTCTTCAAAAGAAGCGTAGCTGTGAGATGGGAAAGAAGGTTGGTGTGTGTTGTAGGGAACTAAGTGGAAGGCCACTGAAGAGCATAAAGGTCACTATTTAGGAAGAGAGGATCAGAACATTAAAGCAATTACTAGGTACCATTTGGCCAGAAGGCAATAGGGCAAATATTAAATATCAAATTTGTATAAAACATCCAAATAAAATCCTTTAAAAAAAAAAAAAAAGAAAGGGCCGGCCGAGTGGCGCGATGGTTAAGAACTCGCTTGGGACGCCAGAGGGCCCTGGTTCAGATCCCACATATGAGGGCCAGTGACACTGCCCTCCACAGCTAAGATGCTGAACAACAGCTCAACCTGGAGCTGGGCTGCTCCTGAGTCGCCGGCGACGGCGTAGGCTGCAGCACCTGTGGCAGTGGGTTGCCATGGGCTACCGTGTGTAGCCAGCAGCCAGCGTGAGCGGCCAGCAGCCACGGTGAGTGGCCGTCCAGAAGCCGGCGACTGATCTGCCTCGCCCGGGAAGAGCGCAAAGATGGTGCCAACTTGGGCCAGTGAAGCAACGTCCTCCACAACTAGACTGAGGAACAAAACAACAGCAACTTGTCTGTTCCCCTTCCCCCAATTCCCCAATAAAAATCTTAAAAAAAAAAAAAAAAGCAGCTCTCCCAGAAAGGGACAGGGATGCTGGGGAAAGCAGGTCTTTGTCTCTGAAGATGTTGCCAATGGTTAATGAGCTGAGGTAAGGAGAACCCAGACAAAGGAAGTGGAGTGGAATGCAGAGTAGCATGACAAAGAGAAACAGCATCCTGATGAGGTCACTTGAAGGACAAGCCTTTTGCTATCTGTTCCCTTGGGGATGTTTCAGTCACAGGAGCCAAAGTATCTCCTTTGGTGCTTTAAACCAACGTGAGTTCAGATTAGGTCACAACCAAGAGGGTCCAAATTGATCAAACCAATAATCCCAAACAAAAGAATTTATTAAGAAAACATTCTAAGTTAAGGAAAAACATTGGATATAATAAGTACAGTGCTGTGGTTTCTATTCTGTAAAAACACCCAAACAAAAACCAAAAAACTAGAACCCAAACTGAACAATAGAGAATTTAACAATTCAATAGCAAAAACAAAAACTGGCAGCAAAAAAGTTCACATAGGGGTTAGAACGCTCCCATTCTTAAGCATCTGCTTCTTTGGTTTCATATACATCAGTTAAATCTTGGGGAAAAGCAGTAAGTCTTCAGCAGTATAGTTCTCCCATCTTTAAGACAGAGATACTCAATTAAATAAAAAGTGAGTAAAATATGCAAACCTTTAGAAGTCCAGGGGACTGAAGGATTCTTTATGTATTTGAAACCCTTGAGAGCGGAAGTTCAGGACGCAGGTGATATTTCTATAGAACTAGTTTACCTTTTTAAATAGCCAGCTTTTTTACTTAAGCACTCTCATTTGACTTTTTATAAAATCTTACTGATTTAAATCCTTCCCTTTTCTCCTCTTTATCTAACCATCAAGATCTTCAGAAGAAGCAGAATTGCTCTAATGGACCCTGACAGCATTACTGTTTATACTATTAACATATGCAGATGCCTCTGCCCTTATTCTACATGGTTAAGGCTTAAATGCTTTTCTGTTTATATCAGTCTGTGATTTCAAGAGCCTTTATTAAATCCTGGCCTGTGCTTGTTCAGTTGGTATTTTGAATCAAACGGAGCATCTTAAATATCCCTGTAACATTTCATCTTGTTCGATTCAGCCCTTGCTCCAACCAAAGTTTTCTGAATTCTGAAGCCTTCATGCAATTCTCCCTTATTCTTTCCTGCTACATCCTCAGAACAC